CCTGGGTTCAGGCAATTCTCCTGCCTCAGCCTCCTGAGTGCTGGGATTACAGGCACGCGCCAACATGCCCAGCTCATTTTTTGTAGTTTTAGTAGAGACGGGGTTTCACCATGTTGACGAGGATGGTCTCGATCTGTTGACCTCGTGATCCACCCGCCTCGGCCTCCCAAAGTGCTGGGATTACAGGCTTGAGCCACCGCGCCCGGCCCATATGAAGACTCTTGTTCTCAAATTGTTTTATTACCATGACTGATTGCTAAAACAGAAATATAATTTTATATGAAAATTCATAAAATCTGTTTTAGATACTTTCAGACAGTCATAAAACATGTCTAGTAGTGGAGACAGTATGAATTCATAATTGTACTTGTCGTTAGTTACTTCTAAATTTACTAAATTTAAAATGCACTTGCTAATTTTTTGTCTATTTTAAATATAAGCCTCTGGTTATTAAAAAGTAAACAAAAACTGTGGGGTGATTTCCAGAATTTTAACCAAAAGCATAATCTGTTATCTCATGGCAACAGCTGTTTACATACCTTAACTTGAATAATGAGCTTTCAACAATTTCAAAATTTAAACACAATCTGGACCAATGTTGATATTTCCACACTCAGGACAAGTAATCATGATGTAGTGTAAAATTCATGTGAAAATCTCATAATCACTAGCAACCACCAACACTAACAACAATTAACCAACAATAACAAGTCAAATCAAGTAAGTATAAACTGTACTCTATGGCGACTATTAAAAATTCAGTATTTCGGAACACTAAAAAATACACATATGTTATACAATTTATCATCTTCATTATTTTTAAAGTCATGCTGCAATTTCTTTTTAATATCATTGACTTGTGCATTTATAATTCTCACCCTGTCCCAAACAAGGGAACCTATTACATTTTGTAAACCTCTGCAGGTCATGAATTTTGCACCTCAAAGGGGATATGTGTGTTATTGAAGGCTTAAGAGGACAGCAGTGTGTGAAACAAAGTCCCAGACTAGCACTCGGAAAAAATGAGTTTTGGTTCAGTTGTAATTTGACTCTTGAGTCTTATCTTTATTCTTTTTGAAAAGATATTATCTTTTCTTTAAGGTCTTTTCCACTAACTGGTGGCAGAGAAAGGTGTTTGGATTCCCAGGACTGTCTTCTTTGCTGACAATGTTTCTTCCAGCCCTAGATTTTCTAAATGTGATTTAAAAACACAAAACTTTAAAAGTTACTATCATAACCATTTTTAAGTGTACAGTTCAGTCATTTAAGGTATATTCACACTGTTGTGCAATCAATCTCCAGAACCTTTTTAGCTTGTAAGAATGAAACTCTATACCCACCAAAATAGCAACTTCCCATATATATGTGGTAATTATATAGATATGTATAATTACTTAGTAATATCTAGCTGTCATAGCCCATATATATTCTTTGTGAAAATATGTTATCTTTTCTTGATATATCAATGAAGGATATATGTATTTCTCCAGTTTTTTCTTTTTCTCTGGCAAACTGACCAATCAAAACAATATTTTGTTCATCCATCCATCAATGTTCACTTGGGCAGCCTCCACCTTTTGGCTGTTGTGAATAATGCTGCTATGAACATGAGTATGCAAATATCTGTTTGAGACTCTGCTTTCAACTCTTATTGATATATACCCAGAGGTATAATTGCTGAAACATATAGGAATTCTATTTTTAATATTTCTATATTGCTATACTATCTTTCATAGTGGCTACTATGAAAATTCACACCAAAAATACACAAGAATTTCTATTTCTTCCACACTTTCACCAACATTTGTTATTTATGTTTTTATGGTTGCCATCCTAATGGTTGCGAGATGATATTGTATTGTGGTTTTGATTTGTTTTTTCCTAATAATTAGTGATTAATCATGACATTTAAAAAAACTTTAAAATTTTTCTTTAAATATAATACAAATGCTACTTTATAATGTAAAATAAAGCTATAGACTTTTTTTTACATGTAGAAATACATTTATTGACTAAAAAATATGTGCAAATATTTCTCCACAAAATAGCATGTTAAAAAAGTTTCTTCGATAATAATTCAATGTGTGCATGTTGGTTTGAGATAAAGGATACTTTGATTTAATTTTGCATTTCTGTAGGATTTAAAATATGGAAGTTTTATCAAATAAAGGGTTAGAAATATAAAAACTTTGGAATGATTATAAATATGATAAAAATATGGAACACTTAATGGATTTGCATGTCATCTTTGTGTAGAGGCCATGCTAATCTCTGTATCCTTCCAATTTTAGTATATGTGCTGCCAAAGCGAGCACAAAGCTATAGACTTTATAGACATAAACAAGCTCTTGTTCATTGATCAGTAAATCTTCTCAAATAGGCTGATTCATGGGCAAATATATTAGTGAGGTAAAGTCAGAAGTACAAGGTTGCTGAGTTGACCAGAGGATTTAGTTGGATTAATTTCATAGTTATCGTAAACCAAACTATCCTGATGAACCTGCATCCTCCACAAGGACATGGTAAAACATTCTGTCAATCTGATTTTTGTTTACTAAGCCACTTTTACTGATCAATCCCCACTCTGACTGAACCATTATCTTCTATTTGGATTTGCTATTCTTGTTTCATGATCTATTCTACTTTTTAAGGTGATTTTGCACAGATATAACCTCTTCTAACTAGTTTTATAAAATAAAACATACAACTGAAATGCAATGGACAAACCAGATGAATTCCTGTTTCAAAAAAATGCATATTAAAACTACATGTATTTCAAATTTCTTCTGTATCAAAAAAAACTCATGCTAACTTGTGATAATATGTCTGAACAAGATCCAGTTTGACAATATGTCTGAAAAAGATCCAGTTTGAGGCACTAAGAAGGATAAGACATCAGTTTGAAAAGGGCTCAATCAGAGCAACATGAAGTTTATAAATTGAAGCAAGAACGAACATTAAATTTATGGTGAAGCCTGGGTGGAAGAATGGTGAAATCACTGTTGCTTTGGAAGAATGCTGAAATCATTGATGATGTTTTATGAAAAGATTATGGGGACAATGCCTCATATGATTTGGCTGTGTCCCCAATCAAATCTCATGTTGAACTGTAGTTCTCATAATCCCCATGTGTCATGATAGGGACCCTGTGGGTGGTAATGGAATCATGGGGGCAGTTACTTCCACATTGTTCTCATGATAGTGAATTCTGATGAGATCTGATAGTTTTATAAGGGGTATTGCCCCTTCTTTGCTCTGCACTTCTCCTTGCTGTCACCATGTGAAGAAGGACATGTTTGCTTCCCCTTCCACCATGATTGTAAGTTTCCTGAGGCCTCCTCAGCCCTGCTGAACTGTGAGTCAATTAAACCTGTTTCCTTTATACATAACCTCATCCTGGGTATGTCTTTATTAGCATCATAAGAACAGTAAACTGGTGCTACAGACAGCAGGACGCTGCTGTAAAGATACCCAAAAATGCAGAAGTGTATTTGGAACTGGGTGACAAGCAGAGGCTGGAACAGTTTGGAGGGCTCAGAAGAAGAGAGGAAGATGTGGGAATGTTTGGAACTTTCTAGAGACTTGGTGAATAGCTTTGACCAACGCACTGATAGTGATATGGACAAAGAAGTCCAGGATAACATGGTCTCAGATGGACATGAGGAACCTGTTGTAAACCAGAATAAAGATGACTCTTGCTATGTTTTAGCATACTGATCTCATTATGGAGTGGGTTATTTATAAGGAAAGATGTTTAATTGACTCACAGTTCAGCAGGGCTGAGGAGGCCTCAGGATCATGGAGGCAGAAAACTAACAGATATTCAGAACTTGAACTCAACACCTGACCGAATGGACCTAATAAATATCTACAGAACTCTCCACCTCAAAACAGCAAAACATGCATTATTCTTATCTGCACATCCACATACTGTAAAATTTACCTCATGATTGGACATAAAATACTGATTTTTTAAAAATGAAAACCATACCATGCCCGCTCTCAGACCACAGTATAATACTACTAATAGTACTGATTTCTATACCATTGAATTATATTTGCATTCAAACAAATGCAAAACTATAAAATTATATGGAAATTAAACAACCTGCTTGAGAATGACTTCTGGATAAATAATAAAATTAAGGCATAAATCAAGAAATCCTTTGAAACTAATGAGAACAAATATACAACATACTAGAATATCTGGGACACAGCTAATGCATTGTAGGAGGGAAGTTTATAACACTAAATATCTACATCAAAAAGTTGATAAGATCTCAAATTAATAACCTAATATTACAACTAAAGGAACTAGAGAAACAAGAGGAAATGAACCCTAAAGCTAGCAGAAGACAAGAAATAACCAAAATCAGAGCTAAACTGAAGAAAATTGGGATGTGAAAAAAATATATACAAAAGGCCAATGAATCCACAAATTTGTTCTTTGAAAGAATTAATGAGAAAGATAGACCATTAGCTAGACTAATAAAGAAAAAAAGAGAAAATCCAAAGGAACACAATCAGAAATGATGAAGCATATGTTACCACTGACCCCAAAGAAATACAAAAACCCCTCGAGGAGTACAATGAATACCTCTATGCACACAAACTAGAAAATCTAGAAGAAATCAATAAACTTCTGGAAATATACCACCTCCCAAGATTGAACCAGGATGAATGAAACCCTGAACAGACCAATAACAAGTTCTGAAATTGAATCAGTAATAAGTCTACCAATCAGAAAAGCCCTAGACTGACAGATTTATGGCCAAATATTATCAGATGTATAAAGAAGAGCTGGAACCATACCTACTGAAAGTATTCCAAAAGTTTGAGGAGGAAAGACTCCTCTATAACTCATTCTGTGAGGCCAGAATCATACTGTCACCAAATCTGGCAGAGACACGATGAAAAAAGAAAACTTCAGGCAATAGAAACTAAATGGAAAAGAGAAAGTTGAAATTCTATAAACAAATATATGTGTACATTCAGTTGATGTTCTGGCAAGTGTTCCAGGACAATTCCATGGGGAATGTTTTCCATGGGGAAAACATAGATGCGAAAATCTTCAACAAGATACTAGCAATCCATATCTAGCAGCACATCAAAATGCTAATCTACCACAACCAAGTACACTTTATCCCTGGAATGTAATGTGGCTTCCACATATGCAAATCAGTAAATATGATTAATGATATAAAAATAACTGAAAACAAAAACCACATAATTATCTCAATAGGTGCAGAAAAGTTTTTGATAAAATTCAACATTTCTTCATGTTAAAAATTTTCAACAAACTAGGTACTGAAGGAATATGCCTTAAATAATAAGGGCCATCTATAACAACCCCACAGCCAATATTATACTGAATGAGCAAAACCTGGAACCATTCTCCTTAAAAATCAGAACAAGACAAAGATAACTCTGTCACTACTCCTATTTGATATAGTGCTGAAAGTCCTAGCCAGAACAATCAGGCAAGAGAAAAAAAATAAAAGGCATCCAAATAGGAAGGGAGGAAATCAAACTATCCCTGTTTTAGACAATATGATTCTGTACCTAGGAAAATCCACAGGTTCTGTGCAAAAGCTCTGAGATCTGATAAACCACTTCCATGAAGTTTCAGGATACAAAATCAATGTACAAAAATCAGTTGCATTCCTATATACCAACAACATCTACACTGAGAGCAAAATCAAGAATGTATTCTGAGTCACTATAGCCACAAAAAGAAAAAAATACCTAGGAATACAGCTAACCAGGAAGGGGAAAAAAACTCTACAATGAGAAATATAAAACACTGCACAAAAAAATCAAAGATGATACAAACAAATGGAAAAACATTCCATGCTCATGGATAGGAAGAATCAATATTTTTTAAATGGCCACACTGACCAAACCAATTGCAGATTCAGCGGTATTCCTATCAAATTAACAATGAAATTATTCACAGAATTCGAAAAAAATTATTTTAAAATTCATATGAAACCAAAAAAAAAGCCTGAATAGCCAAGGCAATCCTAAGCAAAAAGAACAAAGCAGGAGGCATCACATTATCTGGCTTCAAACTATACAACAAGGCTACAGTAACCGAAACAGCATGGTACTTGTGCAAAAACAGACACATAGAGTAATGAAACAGAATACAGAGGCCAGAAATAATGTCCCACACTTACAACCATCTGATTTTTCACAGTCAACAAAAACAATCAATGGGGAAAAGGCCTCTCTAGTCAATGAATGATACTGGGACAACTGATTAGCTATATGTAGAATATTAAAACTGGACACCTTCCTTACACTATAACCCAAAATCAATTCAAGATGGATTAAAGACTTAAATGTCCAATCCAAAATTATAAAAACCCCATAAGATAAGACAGACACATAGCCAGTAAGCATATTTTTAAAATGCTCCACACCATATTTAGATAAATGCAAATCAAAACCACAATGAGATATCCTCTCATACTAGTCAAAATGACTATCATTAAAAAGTAAAAAAATAACAGATACTAGTGAAGTTGTAGGGAAAAGAGAATACTTATACACCGCTGGTGGAAAATTAAATTCATTCAGCAACTGTGGAAAACAGTTTAGTAATTTCTCAAAGAACTCAAAGCAGAATTGTCATTCTACCCAGCAATTCTATTATTCAATATATATCCAAAGAAATATAAATCATTCTACCATAAAGAGACATGCACATGCATGTTCATCACAGCACTATTCATAATAACAAAGACATGGGATCAAACTAAATGCCAATCAGCTGTAGACTGGATATAGAAAATATGATGCAAATACACCATGAAATACAACACAGCCATAAAAAAGAATAAAATGATATCCTTTGTAGCAATATGGATAGAGCTGGAGATCATTATCCTAAGCCAACTGGCACAGAAACAGAAAGCCAAATACCACATGCTCTTACTTATAGATGGGAGCTAAAAACTGAGTAGTACTTGAGCGTAAAGGGAGGGAAGTGGGTGAGGACCAAAAAACTACCTATTGGGTACTTACTATCTGAGTAGCAAAATAATTTGTAAATCAAACCCCTGTGACATGCAATTTACCTATATTAACAAACCTGCACATTTACCCCTGAACTTTAAATGAAAGTTAATACAAAAATTTAGGTCATGTACAGAATCTGGGCCTTATATATATATGAGAGGGGCATTCCACAGTGGGAGATGAGCTCTGACCCGTTATGTAGAATAATTGCCAAAGCAGAGGACAAGAATTGAGCATTTTAAATAATAAAAAAAAGTTCATCACCTTGTTTTATAGGCACTTCAAATTTATT